TGTCGAAACGGTTCGAAACAATGCCGTTTCGACCGAAACGGTCCGAAACAGTACCGTTTCGACCGAAACACTGGAATTTTGTGATTCAACTACTGTTTCGTTTCGGAGTGTTGAAATTCCGAAACGTTTCGGACGTTTCGGACGTGTCGACACGACATTTTGATCCTTGGAAGTAATATATAGCCACTTGTGGACTTGTGTAATCCCCCAGCAAAAAACTTTTAGTATAGAATATTAATATTTTCCGTTATATATTTCATTCCCATGATTTATTTTAAAACTAATGTGAGATGTATAGTTTTTCTTGTTATTTTTTGGTACTATCTTTGCTGCAGATTAGTACCAAAACTATTTTTGGACTATGTATTGGACATTGATATGTTGTTGGACATCATCTGTGCAGCCTGTGGCTATATGTTACATTTTTAATGTCTTGCATCTACAGACATAAGAGTAACTGTTCAATGATCTTTTATGATTCTTTACAGGAAATAAAAAGGAGGGAGGATGCTGCAGCACGAGGTAGTTCTTTTCTCTATGTTTTTATACATTAAAAAAAATGTAGGTTGATTTTCTGGTGTCTTTTATTGAGCAATCATTTTTTTTCCCTTTTGTTTGGCAGCTGGAATTGTTTTTGAGGAGAAAAATTGGCCACCATTTTTTCCTATCATTCATCATGACATTGCAAATGAAATTCCGATCCATCTACAGAAGTTGCAGTATGTTGCATTTACAACATTATTGGGTATATTATCTAGATTGTCTCTTAAGGATTTAGGGTCCCCTATTTAAATTCCTTAAAAGTTACTTGTCTCGGATCACATAGATGCCCGAACTCTTGTACCTTCGATGACAAATTTATGTAACTATAGTTACTGGGCCTGGGGTTCTGGAGCCACATCAGTAAGTAGTAACGTGTTTCAGATGATATTATGTCTACAACTCAGCACTTCCATTAAGCAACCAGGCAAATACTTGTTAATACAAGTTGCTTCAATATAATTCGTATCTAATGCCCACCTCCCTCCTCTTAAAGTGTGCAGGGCTGTGCACAAAGTAAACAATTTCATGTACTCGCCCAAATTCTCTTATATGCAGAGCACATTGGCGAAAGCAAATTAGATATTTTAAATTTTTATCAGTTTGTCATCTAACCCTCCCCAAACCCCACAATGGTGGGAGCCTCGTACACTGGGTACGCCCTTTATGAGTTTGTCATCTGTCTGCTCCACCTCTAGAGAATCTTCTCTCAAAAGTTAAGCTGAAAGCTTCTCATACCAAGCTCTAGAAGCTTGCTTCAGCCCATCCAAGGCTTTCTTAAGCCGATAGACATGTCTAGCGGGATGTGGATCCTCAAACCCCTTTGGTTGTTTCACATAGAATTCTTCCTGAAGAACACCATTCAAGAACGCACTCTTAACATCCATTTGATAGAGCTTGAACTCTAAATGAGATGCTATGGCAAAGAGTAGTCTCACTGACTCAAGCCTAGCTGGTGAGAAGGTTTCATCAAAATCAATGCTTTCGAGTTTTCACTATATACCAAAGGCAGCATGCAGTAAGACCCCTTTCGACTAATACAAAGCTCTTAACCTTCCTGACCAAAGCAGAAAAAAAGAAAAGAGTGAAAAAACAAAAGAAAACTTTATTCAAAACAAAAATATATTATTTTCAAGGAAATCATATATGAAAGAAGAGTCAATCGGATAGAAAGATATCAGAAATGGTTTATAAATCATCTTTAAATTGCCCTTTTTTCCTCCTATGCTTCACATTATAGTTTTTTTCAATCATTTTTGTACTGTACTATGCACTTTAAGGGCAAAAATGTCCCTCGTCTGACTAAGATTTGGCTCATTAATCGGACTACTGCTTGATTTCCTGAAGTCGATGCATTTTATAACTGCATTGATTGTAAAATTGCATGTGATACACTAATTCAGATATCTATTCTGACATTCTTGTTGTACTGGTCCATAATGGTAAACCACTTTTGCCACAACTAGTTTGTCATCAGGGATGAAAGCTGTCAAAAGATTTCTGTCAGATTAGCATCTCTCCCTCTCTCTCTCTCTGTGTCTATCTATCTATCTATTTATCTCTCTAACACAACAACTACTGCAAACCACTTTTTAAATTTTAGCAATTTAGACTAGAAAATCACAGATAACAGATTTTTTTTTTTTTTGGTTGGGTGAATAACAGCTTTGGTCATTAGTTTTTTTGTCAAAATATCTATCCTTCCGCCTCTCCCTATCGTAAGTTACATATTGCATAGTTCTAAAAGTAAAAAGTATATTGGTATTAGTTATGCCATTTAGAGATCAAAAGATCGACATCTAAATGGAAANTGTTTTGTCGAAACGGTTCGAAACAATGCCGTTTCGACCGAAACGGTCCGAAACAGTACCGTTTCGACCGAAACACTGGAATTTTGTGATTCAACTACTGTTTCGTTTCGGAGTGTTGAAATTCCGAAACGTTTCGGACGTTTCGGACGTGTCGACACGACATTTTGATCCTTGGGTATGCTATATTCTCAAGTTAGAATGTTACCTCACAAAGCATGGTGTCTTTGGTGGAAATACTACCTTGGTGCTCAAAAAGTTTGGACTGCATAATTAATTTTAATTGACAAGCAATTCTTTTTTTTTTTTTTGAAAGGTGGACAAGCAATTCATGTGGACTGTGGTGGATTGAGTTATTAAACTTTGCGATATTTTGCAGGTTTATTTGTCTGCCTTCTGTGGAACATGATAGCAGTTACCACAGCCTGGATCGAAGGGGAAGGTTGGTCTGGAATACTTCATGCAGGCTCACAATCGTTTTGTGATATTTCACTTTTTCAAGTTCTCTTTTGTTGTAGGTCTGACAATCTGGTTTCTTGCTATCATCTACTTCATATCGGGGGTTCCAGGAGCCTATGTGTTGTGGTATCGTCCTCTTTATCGTGCAATGAGGTACTATTTATGCTCTGTACATTTGAATTTGTTCCACTATCTATGGTTTCGAAGGCTCTAATATTATGGTTCCCCAGCATTGTTTAGGCCTGTTAAATGACTAGTTTTGAGTCTTTTGAAACTGCATGCCTGGCTATGGTTTCCAGCATTTTGATGGATCGATTAATGTATTGCTATGGTGACCTTACATTTTGTGCTTTTCAGGTTTAGAATGTGAGAATTAATTCTCAATAGATGTGACAGTTCTTGTTCCCATAGTCTGGAATTTAATAGTCATGTTTTGAATATGCATTACTAACTCCACTGTCCTTCAAATCCTTGACTGTATGGTTCTCTTTATAATTGCGTGGGTTACACTTTTGACAGGACTGATAGTGCCCTGAAGTTTGGGTGGTTTTTCTTGTCTTACGTGGTACACGTCTATGAATCCACACATAAATCATATCCGTATGTTGGATGTGTTTTTGAGGCCTCATTCATTCCTCCGTTTTCTCCATGCAGTTTCACATTGGCTTCTGCTTCTTTGCTGCAGTTGCTCCGCCAATTATTTTTAAGGGGAAATCACTAACGTGAGTTTTCTTTGTCCTATTTATCTTAGGAGGGATGTGCCCTCCCAATTCATTGGAAGGAAAGACGAAGCCATAATCTATATAGTGACAACTTCTATTTGAATACTGTTTTTCCTCTATAGTGGGCTACTGATGCATGGTTTTTGTATTCATCTGTAACAGAGGAATCTTGCCAGCAGTTGATGTTTTGAGTAATCATGCTTTAGTTGGGGTAAGTTTTTAATGTAGTGATTGCAATTAAGTAGTGTCTATACACAAATACAAATGCGGACATTGACCACCATTAGTATTTGATATCTATCGTGATCACTGGACCTTCTTAATTTTTAGCAATTATTTATTTGCTCTTCTTGAGTTGATGGTTTGTTTATTTCAGTTTATGATCTTTGAGCACATGTAGCCTATTGACATATTTTTTATAAATGNTTGACCACCATTAGTATTTGATATCTATCGTGATCACTGGACCTTCTTAATTTTTAGCAATTATTTATTTGCTCTTCTTGAGTTGAGGGTTTGTTTATTTCAGTTTATGATCTTTGAGCACATGTAGCCTATTGACATATTTTTTTATAAATTNAGCAATTATTTATTTGCTCTTCTTGAGTTGATGGTTTGTTTATTTCAGTTTATGATCTTTGAGCACATGTAGCCTATTGACATTTTTTTTATAAATTTCATTCCTTCAAGTATGCCAAAAGAAAGATGATCTACAAGAAAACAACATATCAAATTGTGACCATTTTGCAGTAATTTACACTTTTATTTGCAGATCTTCTATCTCATTGGCTTCGGATTTTTCAGCCTTGAATCAATGATCAGCATCTGGGTTATCCAGGTTCTATAATATGGCTTCTTTTGTTTCTATATTTGTTTTTTTTTTTTTGGGGGAGAGGGAGGGGGTATTACATTATTTCTTTGTCTTTTGGTTTTGGGCTCCCTGAGCCTCTTTCTTTATCCCTATATGCAGCAAGTATACATGTACTTCCGAGGCAGTGGCAAAGTTGCAGAGATGAAGCGTGAGGCTGCAAGATCGACAATGATGTCAGCACTTTGACACGGCCGCAATGGAGTGGAGATGATACTCGTGAGCTTATTTGGCCAATAAGTTTAATTTTTTACTAACTATTTATTTTTGTTTTGTAAATATAAAGACGAAGAAATAAATTCTATCGCCTATTTACTACGGCAACGAAGAATCAAACTATCACTATATTTATTTTTTTTTCTACTTATTCTTTCAAATGCAGGATAACCCCAAGAAGTTGTGGGTTTTTTCCTACCAATTGGGTCACTCCATTCAGGCTTTCGCACAGCTCATTGTTTGTTACTTTCGAGCTCCGGTCTCTCTTGCGGTCAAAATTTTCCTCTTTTCTCACACCTTTTACTACATAATTTAGCGCGTTCAATGTATATTTGTAAGTACATATCAACTGTTGATCCTTGACAAGCGTATGNCTATATTTATTTTTTTTTCTACTTATTCTTTCAAATGCAGGATAACCCCAAGAAGTTGTGGGTTTTTTCCTACCAATTGGGTCACTCTATTCAAGCTTTCGCACAGCTCATTGTTTGTTACTTTCGAGCTCCGGTCTCTCTTGCGGTCAAAATTTTCCTCTTTTCTCACACCTTTAACTACATAATTTAGCGCGTTCAATGTATATCTGTAAATACATATCAACTGTGGATCCTTGACAAGCGTATAGTGATACGGGCATTTTTCCCTTGGACGCTCACCTGGACAAATGTTGTTCTCATATATTATGTAAGCAGCATCATAAGTTTGTTTAACCTTTCTTTTCATTTTTTATTTTTTAGCATAACCTTCCTTTTCCTTGAATGAATGTTTTCAAAACATATAGAAATTCAGACAATAGAAATAGAAGAAAGTTTGGAATTCTTTATCTTGTGATGCTTTGAAAAAATCTGTTGCTCAGATTGCAATTACACTGGTGAGCTACTTTATGCGGTGAAAATTCAGAGTAGTCTTAAATTGTATTTGATTAAGATCAGTTGTATTGAAAATTACAGATTGACCTGTCTTTTTTCTAGAAATTATATTTGGTATTTAATCTTTAGCAAAAAGGTAATGTCGACAAAACAAAAACGCGTTTGATTAGTATATAACAAAGACGATTTATATGCATCTTAGTATATAACTAATAGAGGNCTCAGATTGCAATTACACTGGTGAGCTACTTTATGCGGTGAAAATTCAGAGTAGTCTCAAATTGTATTTGATTAAGATCAGTTGAATTGAAAATTACAGATTGACCTGTCTTTTTTCTAGAAATTATATTTGGTATTTAATCTTTAGCAAAAAGGTAAAATCAACAAAACAAAAACGCGTTTGATTAGTATATAACAAAGACGATTTATATGCATCTTAGTATATAACTAATAGAGTGACATATGCATTAAGGCTCAATTATAAGTAGAGATTACTTGTTACAAAAAATGTTTTAAGTATTTCACTTGAATATAGTATTTTTTAGGGTTATATGCTTTCATCCTCATTCCTTTCAGAAATAAAGTTAGATCCCCGTTTTATACATAAAAATACGAGTTTCTAAAAAAAAGTTTAACTAGATTTTGATATTTCGTCTATTCACTTCAAGTACCAATTAAAATCTAAAATTTATTTTGTTATTCTGCTTAGAAGTATGAAACTAAAATAAAATTGGTTAAATTTTGAGATGTGCATTTAAAATCCAAGAGAATTGAAGATTGAATCCAACCATTACCTCTAAACAATCAATGATTTAAGTTTAGAACTATTTTTTGGAAGAATTTCGATGGCGATCCCATGTAGATTAGCATAAATTCAAATACATCGCTCTTTTTCCTTTTAATTTCTTTTTTCGTTGTAGAAGTATTCACTGTTGTGATAATCACACTATTGACATGATTAAAAATAGTGGTGTTATAAAGATTTTTTTCATAATATCAATTTGACTATCTAATTATTGACTCCAATGACGATATAATCTAGTCTACTATTAAGGTGATAATATATACTTTACAAAAATCACAGAAACAAAAATAAAAAAAACTAAAAAACTAAAAAACGTTTCTTTAAATAGATTTTTTTACTAGTGTATATAGATAATTTTATTAACTAAATTAATAAAACATAACATTTAACTTAAACTTCTAACTTAGAAAAGTGCAAGAATGGGCCAAGTCATTTAAATCTAATGATTTATCTTATTAATTACATTTTAACCACAATAACTCTTTCTAGCTATTTATGATTAACTTTTAACCACAATAAATATTTTAATCACACTAAAAAAAAAAAGGTGCGATTTGCACAAGTTTGTCTTGGTATATAACATGTATTAGATGGTATATATTACCCATGGATATGTATTATATATTTTATACTGATAAATATAATTATTTCATGATCAATTAGGAAAAGTAACCATTTTTATTACTTTTTAGTCGAACAAACCCCGAAAAGAATATATGATGAAATTATAAAAATAACAAAAAAAGACCAAAAAAATTAAAAAAAAATAAAAGGGCGAATGACACTTTGCACCTGAAAGTTCTTTAAATTCTCAATTCATTCTGTACAAGATTAAAATTCGTACATTGCATTCTCAATTAGATAAAAATATAACAACATAATCCACTTTAACAAAATTGTGTGCAAAATTTTCATGCAAAATACTTATAATTGACTAATGTACAAATAATTTTATATCAATGTTGTCTAAACCCAAAGTTGTGTTGTTTTATTTAACAATTTTTTTGCTCTATTTTTTATATTTTTATTTTCAATATTTCAATTGCATCATTTTATTCTCTGAAGTATTGAATATATTTCTATGTGGTCTTTCAAGCAGGCAACATCTAAATTGCTAACCTTTTTTTTTTTATCATAATTTTGTCACGTGATACGTGCATATAGACAAAAAATAATTTCAGTAGCTCCTGACCAAAATTTGGATAGGTCTCAACCAAAATTGTGTAATATGGGTAACTCTTAACTAAAATTTAGATAGTTCATAATCAAAATTATGTAATTTAAATAGTTCTTTGACCAAAATTTAGGTAAAATTTTGGTCAAAATTTATTCAAATTATTTTTTTTCCATATATTTAGATATTCCATGGCAAGTTTATAATAAAATTTTTTTGGCAATCTAAATACTGTCTGTTTGAGAAACCACGTAATAATATATTTAATTCAAAGACTAAAATAATATAATTAAAATATTATAAATCAAAATGAGATGAACTTTATACTATAAGGACCATCAATATAATTAACCCAAAAAAAAAAAAATTCAGTTGAGTTTGAAGAGGTTTTTCAATTTTTGGGCTCATGATACTTTGCATATATTAAATTTTTTTAATTTATATGTTGGATGATTAAAATTTTTATATAAAAATAAAACAAATTATATTTTAGGGACCTCTAATATAATTAAATTTTTTTTTTTTTTTGGTTGAATTAAAAGTTTTCTGTATTCCTATGTTTTGTACTTATACATTGTTGAGTTTCTATGTTCATGGTCAGAAAAACAGAGAGGAAATGATGCTTCAAGCTTGCAGTTCCAGAGAGCTAAGCTACGAAAATCTCCATAACCCAGTTCAAAGCCACATCTTTTCTTCACCATGTAAGCTTCTGAATCTCTACTCTCCATTCAAATCTAGGGTTCTTCTAGGGTTTAATTCATGTACTCATCACAGCTCAGTAGAGACACAAGAGTGTTCATTACACACATCGCCCTTCATGACTTGTCAAACCATAAACAGAACTGTAAATTCACAAACCCAGAAGCTAAACGCTAGAGGAACTATTAGGGTTTATATAGGGTTTAAGCTTCAGTGCCATTCAAGAACACTAGTTTTGCCCACCAAAACCAGAATTAATGGTAAAAAGAAGAGCTATGGAGGTGTTTTGCCATCGATTTTACGGTCTTTGGAATCCGATACTGATATTGAGAAAACCCTTGATTTGTATTATGGGAAGCTTAATCCCAAAGAACAAACTGTGATTCTCAAAGAGCAGACTAGTTGGGAAAGGGTTCTTAGGGTTTTTGAGTGGATAAAGTCACAGAAAGAGTATGCTCCCAATGTAATTCACTATAATGTTGTGCTACGGGCGCTGGGTCGGGCTCAAAGATGGGATGAGTTGAGGCTTAGTTGGATTGAAATGGCAAAAAATGGTGTTTTGCCAACGAATAATACTTATGGGATGCTTGTTGATGTGTACGGAAAAGCTGGTCTTGTAAAAGAAGCGCTTTTGTGGATTAAGCACATGAAGGTGAGGGGAATTTTTCCTGATGAGGTGACCATGAATACAGCCGTTAGAGTTTTGAAGGATGCGGGGGAATATGATCGGGCAGATGGGTTTTATAAGGATTGGTGTGTTGGAAGGATTGAATTGGATGATCTTGATTTGGATTCTATAGCTGATTCTGAATCTGGGCCAGGTGTGGAACCCATTAGTTTGAAGCATTTCCTTTCAACCGAGCTTTTTAGGATTGGTGGGAGGAATACTGGTAAAGTTCTTGCTTTGTCGGATACTGAGAACTCTGTTAGGAAGCCCCGACTTACAGCTACTTACAATACGTTGATTGATATGTATGGAAAGGCAGGTCGCTTGAAAGAAGCTGCAGATGTGTTTGCGAGTATGTTAAAATCTGGGGTTGCTCCAGATACCTTCACTTTTAACACTCTAATATTCACTTGTGGAAGTCACGGTTATTTGTCAGAAGCAGAAGCTTTGCTTGGTAAGATGGAAGAAAGGGGAGTCACTCCTGATACAAAAACTTACAACATCTTTCTCTCTCTGTATGCTGATGTGGGTAACATGGATGCAGCTCTTAGGTATTATAGGAAGATTAGCGAGGTGGGTCTTTTTCCTGATGTTGTGACTCATAGAGCTGTTCTTCAGATACTATGTGAGAGGAAAATGGTTCAAGAAGTGGAGGCTGTGATGGCAGAAATGGAGAAAGCTGGTGTGCGCATTGATGAGCGCTCTCTTCCAGTTATCATAAAGATGTATGTCAATGAAGGATTGACCGAACGTGCAAAAGTCATTTTTGAGAAGTGCCAAATGGATGGCAGATTGTCATCAAGGACATATGCAGCAGTTATGGATACATATGCAGAGAAAGGACTTTGGGCTGAGGCTGAGGCAGTGTTCTTCAACGAGAGAGATTTAGTTGGACAGAAAAAGAATATTGTGGAATATAATGTTATGATCAAAGCTTATGGTAAAGCGAAGCTTTATGATAAAGCTTTCTCTCTCTTCAAGGGCATGAAGAATCATGGGACGTGGCCAGACGAGTGCACTTATAACTCTCTCATCCAAATGTTTGCAGGAACAGATTTAGTGGAGCAAGGCAGGGACCTCTTAATTGAAATGCGAGGAGCAGGGCTCAGACCACAGTGTGTAACCTTCTCTGCTGTTATTGCAAGTTATGCCCGCTCAGGCAGGCTTTCTGAAGCAGTCGATATCTACAAAGAAATGGTTAAAGCGGGGGTAAAACCAAATGAAGTTGTTTATGGGTCTTTGATCAATGGATTCGCAGAGACTGGCAGAATTGAAGAAGCGCTTCACTATTTCCATGTCATGGTGGAATCTGGGATTTCAGCAAACCAGATAGTGTTAACTTCGCTGATCAAGGCTTATAGCAAAATTGGGTCTGTACAAGGAGCAAAACAACTTTATGAGAAGATGAAAATTTTGGAGGGTGGTCCTGATATCGTGGCATCTAATAGTATGCTCAATTTATATGCTGATCTGGGAATGGTATCTGAAGCCAGATTGATATTTGATAATTTGAGAGAGAGAGGTTGGGCAGATGGGGTCACATTTGCAACGATGATGTATGTTTACAAGAATATGGGCATGCTGGATGAAGCCATTGACGTTGCAGAGGAGATGAAACTGTCAGGTTTACTGAGGGATTGTGTTTCTTTTAATAAGGTAATGGCATGCTATGCCACAAATGGGCAGCTAGTTGAATGTGGCCAATTGTTACATGAAATGGTAAATCGGAAGCTTTTGCCTGATGCCGGGACCTTTAAAGTATTATTTACTATATTGAAAAAGGGTGGCATTCCAGTTGACGGAGTCAGACAGCTTGAGTCATCTTACGAGGAAGGGAAACCTTATGCCAGGCAAGCTGTCATAACCTCTGTTTTCTCTGTAGTAGGTTTTCATGCTCTTGCACTTGAATCCTGTGAGATCTTCGCAAAAGCAGATACGTGTCTCGATTCCTTTGCCTACAATGTTGCCATATATGCTTACGGGACTTCAGGGAAAATCGACCAGGCACTAAACATTTTCATGAGAATGCAAGATGATGGGCTAGAACCCGACATTGTTACTTATATTCATCTTGTAGGTTGTTATGGTAGAGCTGGTATGGTTGAAGGTGTGAAACGAATTTACAGCCAACTAAAATATGGAGAGATTGAGCCCAATGAATCCCTGTTCAATGCAGTCATTGATGCCTACAAAAATGCCAACAAACACGACCTTGCTGAATTGGTTAACCAAGAAATGAGATTTGCTTTCGACACACAACAGTCTCCTGATTCCGAGACTGAAGATGAGCCTGATGAAACTTCTGTAGATTTTTAGAACTTACATTCACTTTGTATTCAAATGACAAATTCCTATGTTGTACTCTGTACATAGCATTTGCACAAGCTTTCATGTTTGTGTTTATTTATGAACTTGTACAAAGAGGATTCTTGAGTATTAATGGAAGAAATGTAGTTCGTATGTGTGGCTATTGACCCATCAAGGAGAATGATATTGTTTGTATTTCCATTCGAACATGCCATGATTTGGTGATACCATATCATGTGCAATAAATAATAAAAAGAAAAAAGGCCATTTTATGTCGACAAAAAGCACCCTACACTCAAATACCATAACATTTAGTCCGCTATCCTATCTGAGTTACTATCTTGATGCACCACCGAGGTGGTAGCCAAGTTGGCTTCAGTAGAGGATGACAGTCCTGCGCTTCTTCAGTGGTCATGGGTTTGAACCCACTTTAAATAATAGTACCTGTGAACCAAATATTACTGGAGGAGGCTGAATGTATAGGTTGTCCTTAGCGGTGTTGTAGTAATGAGCTCGATTATCTCAAGTCAGTTGCTACAGCTCAAACTGGACATTCTATGGCAGGTGAGAACCTCAAGATAACGTTATAGGAGGTTGCTATGCCTCATCACTCCTAACCATCCAAAAAAAAAAAATCCTTTGATGCTACCTTATACAATTAGGTTATATCTCTTGTCCCTCAATCCTCTAATTTAGAGCGTGTCATTAAAATTTTTAATTGTGGCACAATAAGGACTTGATAGGTAATTTTGGTGCATTTTCATTCCTATTTACTTGAATGTGTCTTTGAACAGTTCAAGGTCATACATGAAAAATTGAAAGCAAGTGATTAATATGAACACGAAATAGGATTTTGATCCACTTTGTATTACATTCTTTCGAATTTTCCTCAATGCTAGACTCTTGACTGTGAACCCAAGCGAAACTCTTTGTATTCAAGTGGGTCTCCTAGTATCACTTAATAGATACAAAAATGAGTTGCTTGATTGTGGCCAAATTACAAAAATATTGTTTATACAAATTTTTTGATCCAATCTTTCGTATCTTTTGATTGATAGTAGATCTAGATAATATTGGTACTTACAGTGAATAATATAATAGAAGATGACGGAGTTTAGTATACATCTGTAAAATATTACTATTATTCATATTTATTTTTCAAGTAAACAATACATATGATTCTTAAACTATGATTTTTGTGTCAGTTAAATTTTTGAAATTTTTTAGTGTGTCAATTGAACCCCTGAACTCTCTAATTGTGTCAATTGAACCCTTCTATTTATCTTCGTTACATTTTCTAATAGAACGTGGCGAAGTGTGTCACTCATGTAACACAAATGGTTGGAGTAAACTACACATATAACCCTTAAACCATTACCCTTATATCAATTAAGTCATTGAATTTTTTTTTTAAAATTTTGTGTCAATTGAGTTTCTGAACTCTTTAATTGTGTTAATTGAACCCTTTTTGCCTTTAGTGTCATATAGTAACGTGAGTGGTATATTTTAACGGAGACATATAGAAGGGCTCAATAGACACAATTAGGGAGTTTAGGAGCTTAATTGACAAAAAAAAAATTCAGAGATTTAATTGACACAAATGTCATAATTTAAAGATGATATGTCTAGTTTACTCTTATTTGCCTATCTTGAGCACTCATAATCCTTTAGGGTGTGTTTGTTTTAAGTATTAGGAAGGAGGGATTGAAAAAAATAATGTCAGGCTTATCTTAGTCCTCTTATACCCATGTTTAAATACACATTTTGGGGCTTGTATTTTCACCTAGAAATAATACTTGCCCGGATGAATAGTGTATTTAATATCACATTTAACCTCTCAAATAAACCCAATTTTTTATGGGTTAAATAATTCGGTTGAGATATATTTGGATAAAAAATATTTTTACCCTCAAGAATATTTAAGATATAAATATTAATTTTTTATCTTGAGGGTTCTTTAATAATTTACTGTTTATACTATTATTCAATACTCTATCCAAAAAAAATATTAGATGAGATAAATGTAATGCCCACTCTTTTTTAATACTTCAACCAATCATGTGATACAAAAATATTATCACTATAATTAGTCCATGGGACCGAATAAATAGGTATAAAATAGAAAAATTTGTTTAATCCTATCCTTCCTAATGTCTAAACCAAAAATACCCTTAGAGGGTGTTTGGTTTAAGGGATAAAAAGGGATAAAGTAAGTTGGATTAGACAAAAGAATTGAAGGGCTCACAAAACCCAACTTTGGATCCTTTTTCTTGAATGGTATAAATGTTGGGCTTAAAAAATCGGTCCGTATGAAATGAGGTCATTTATCCTGTCTAACTCGATTCTATGTATCCCACCTAAACTTTGGGATAACTAAGCCCATGAATGGGTTTGATGGTGGAATTACACAAAAATCCTCCAACAGTAAAAATTCTAGGGTTTTATCCCATTATCTCTCCACTTCACCCCTGGTCCCCTCCTTCCTACAAACGGCGCTCTGTGGTCCCCCATTGCCAAAGGTATTCCACTATCTCTCTCTCACTCGTTGTCTCTCTCTCTCTCTCTCTCTCTCTCTCTCTCTCTCTCTTTCCACTCTCTCGCTGTGTGTATATATATACACACACACATATATTTGTATATATTAAAAAAGGGGTTTTTTGTTTGTATTGTGAAGGATCTTCTTCCAAGAGTGTGATTCGTTCTCACCCTCTCTCTCTCTTTCTCTCTTTATATATATATATATATATATATATATATATATATATATATGTACATAAGTCAAAAAATAAAAGTTTAATTTTATATGTGATAATGATGTGTTCTTTGATTTCTCACCCCCACAGTCTAACTCTTTGTTCAGGAGATTTGGATTTTTTTTTTGCTTGCTTCCTCCACTCTATGATTTGTTCACATATTCTTGTATATACAGAAAACGACATTTTTTTCACCCTCTCTGTGTCTGTCTATCTCTCTCTATTTATGTACACACACACACACACACATATATATATATATATATGTATGTATGTATATGTATATGTATATAAATCGAAAAACAAAAAAAATTATATTTTTATGTGATACTTCTGTGTTCTTCGAATTCTCACCCCCCCAAAGTCTCCCATTCTGTTCACGATGAAAACATATGTGGTCGCATTTGTCATTTGTAAACTAAAAAAAAAAAAATTGGTCTTTTTTCATGGTGACACAAATGAAAAATGAAAAGAAATATAAAGGTGGACAATATTAAAAAATTTTCAAAGCCAAATATGAATTTGGATTGCATAAGAGTGAAAGTTAAAATTGTAATTTAATGTAAAAGTGAATAGATTTGACCAACAAATACAATATTTTATCCGTAGACTCTATAATATATCAAATCAAGTATAGAATTAAACCCCTTTATCTATATCCGAATTATTAAATTTTCAATAAATAAGTTTAAATTACAAAACTAACCCTACCCTATCCCTCAAAGCTTTGCCAAACACCCCTTAAAACTCTGGTATCCCTCGCACTCTCTCTTTGTATCACCCTTTTACAAATTTAATATTTTATACGGATGACCATTTGCAAGAGTACTGGTTCTTATAAAGGCCACAAGCAAAAGCACAGGTGTGGCCAAGTCAGGTACAGTATGGACCCACTTGTCCCCAAAAGGTTAATTATAGTATGAATGCTATGACCTTGACCCAACACACTGAATCATCCCCAACATGGTTGCCACCCAGATTCCAGTTCAACAAACATGCACATGGCTTAGGTACTACTAGTGGCAACCAAGGACATCAGTTTTTATATTGTCGACGTGGACGGTCCAGATCTTTGTGGCTATTTCCGACAGTTGTAAAGCCCCCAACTGTATTTAAATACCATGTTGCATGGATAACCTGATGGGTCAGTTGCAGCTGCTTGCCAATAAATTTCTACCAATTCTGTGCAGAAGCCATGCACATTAGGAGACAAGTCTACGATTAGGGCTTCAATCGATACGATTTATTTGGATTCGACTCAAATAAATTTCGGTTCGAATTTAACTTGTGTTTTAAATGAGTTGAGTTTAAATAATTTTTTAGATTTGACTTAAACTCACAAAATTTAACTTATTTATATGTAAGATAGTCGAGTTGCTCGGACTCGAACTCGACTTGAGTTATAAACGATCCGAGTTTAAATAATTTTTTAGATTTATTTAAAAATATAAGTTCGTTAGACTCGAACTCAAACTCGCAAAGTTCGAATTGATTAGTTCTGCGATATTTAAAAGAAAAAAAAATTGGTACTATAACAAAATTTAGTATTGTATTATGAATATGTATCAATCTTAAAAACATCACTGCTAACATTTTTAAGATCAATCGAAAATCACAATAAAAAGTGATGATTTTGTCCAAAAAAGTTGTAAACGTAACTCTCATGCCTATATATACCTGAGCTGACCATTGAAAACACCCAAGTAGCTAACACTCTCTCTCAAGTCTCAACCATAACTCCCACTAACCATACCTAACCCCCAACCCACCGGAACAAGCCCCCAAACAGGCAAACACCATGGTTTGTTTTTGTTTTCTGGTTGATCAGACGAGGAAGGTGAGCAGACACAAACCGGCCGCCGGAATATGCTCACGGTGCGGCGGTGGCGCCAGCGTGGCCGACATGAAGACCTCCACCAGGTTCTGCTACGTCCCATTTTACTGGAAGTCATGGAGGGCTATCATGTGTACCTTCTGTGGAGCCATTCTAAGGTCTTACCGATAGAAATGACTTTTTTTTTTTTTTTGGCTTTTCCAGTTTTTTGATTGATTGTTGTAAGGCTGCTTCTATTGGATCTGGAGTTGGCAGAGGACGCTTAGCTAACCAACGTTTAGATTCGATTTTACTCAAAATTTTTTGGTTTGCACCAACGTTTCCCACTTGTTAGCAGCTTCTGCGATTTCAGAATCTCCCCGTGGAATAGTCTGTTCTACCTATTCCACTTGGGGGTGTATTTAATTATTATGTGGATTCAGATTATAGAGATGAGATGCACCAACAATTTTAGTGTTAGGGGTAGAAATCGCGCGTTTGAATCTCATCCCTGAACACCAAAGATTCTGGCTGGCTTGTATCCTTTCCTAAGGCAATACAGTAGCCTTTACCTCCATCTCACATCGGGTAGGAGTCGTCTCCTCTCTTGCCATATAAATGAACACTTTCTATGGATGAGGTACCCACTAGGCACCTGATTAGGTCGCTAGTGGGTACCTCATCCATAGGAAGTGTTCACTTATATGGCAGGAGGGGAGACGACTCCTATCCGATGTGGAATGGAGGTAAAGGCTACTGTATTGCCTTAGGAAAGGGTACAGACTAGCCAAAATCCTTGGTGTTCAGGGATGAGATTTGAACGCGCGATTTCTACCCCTAACATAAAAGGCGCTTTTTGGTGGACAGGATTCCCTCCCTCCGAAAGGATTTTGGTTGGCCTGCACCATTTCCTAAGACAATACAGTAGCCTTTACCTTCATCCCACATTGGGTAGGAGTCGTCTCCCCCTCTGTCATATAAGTGAACACTTCTTATGGAGGAGGTACCCACTAGGCACCTGATCAAGTGCTAGTGGGTACCTCTTCCATAGGAAGTGTTCACTTATATGTGGTACCCACTAGACACCTGATCAAGTGCTAGTGGGTACCTCTTCCATAGGAAGTGTTCACTTATATGTGAGATGGAGGTAAAGACTACTGTATTGCCTTAGGAAAGGGTGCAGGCCAGCCAAAATCCTTTCGGAGGGAGGGAATCCTGTCCACCAAAAGACTCATTGTTGCCTTAGGAAAGGGTGCAGGCCAGCAAAAATCCTTTTGAAGGGAGGGATCCTTTCGGAGGGAGGGAATCCTGTCCACCAAAAGACTCTTTGTTGCCTTAGGAAAGGGTGCAGGCCAGCCAAAATCCTTTTGAAGGGAGGGAATCCTGTCCACCAAAAGGCGCCTTTTATGTTAGGGGTAGAAATCGCGCGTTCGGATCTCATCCCTGAACACCAACGATTCTGGCTGGCCTGCACCATTTCCTAAGGCAATACAGTAGCCTTTACCTCCATCCCACATCGGGTAGGAGTCGTCTCCCCCCTGCCATATAAGTGAACACTTCCTATGGAGGAGGTACCCACTAGCTACTCCATAGGAAGTGTTCATTTATATGGCAGGGGGGGAGACGACTCCTACCCGATGTGGGATGGAGGTAAAAACTACTGTATTACCTTAGGAAAGGGTGCAGGCCAGCCAGAATCCTTTCGGAGGGAGGGAATCCTGCTTTCGGAGGGAGGAAATCCTGTCCACCAAAAGGTGCCTTTTATGTAAGGGGTAGAAATCGCTACGGGATTCCGGCTAACCTGGCGGCACCAAGCCCCAGTAGCCTTTACCTCTCTTCGCTAATAGGGCCCTTTCCTAAGGCAATCCCACATCGGAAGAGAGTCGTCTTCTCCCCTGCTATATAAGTGAACACTTCAGTGTTCACTTATATAGCAGGGGAGAAGACGACTCTCTTCCGATGTGGGATTGCCTTAGGAAAGGGCCCTATTAGAGAAGAGAGGTAAAGGCTACTGGGGCTCGGTGCTGCCAGGTCAGCTGGAATCGTTCGAGTGGAGGGCTGAAATCTTGTAGTGATTTCTACCCCTTACATTTAGTATATTGAAAGACAAGAGTCTCTCTCTCTCCCTCCCTCTTGTAATTTTTGGTTTTATCTTTTCTTTTATGTACCTCAAGTTCAGGAATTTTTTCTTTTGGTTTTTGGTTTTTGGTTTCTGTTTTATTTATTTATTTTTATTTCTTGTGTTAATAATGAGAATAAGCAATACAACTTCAAGTCCGCTTACTTGTATAGAATGACACCTCATAGTAGCTTGACATCTGTCGAGGGTCACTAGAGTAAATACACATGCCTGGGCTTTCGAGACAGACTAGAGTTCCTTTGGTTAGGAAGGAACGGATTAAGATCCAAGAACCAAGCAAATATTACGAGAATGATATTATTTAGATATAATAATTTTGACAATTATATTATAAGTGAGTAACAACATTAAATGCATTAAACTATCGATCCAATTGCCATAATACATTATGTAATAATGCTTGATGGTGTATGAAATGTGAGTGAACAGAATGTGATTCGTATAACTGAGAGTTTGCTTGAGCTTTTGGGCTTGCAAGGATTATGACAAGATCCTTAGGAGAGTTGGGATGGTTTGCACAGTGAAATTATAGTGGTTCAATAGCTCGAGAGCTCGGCTAATTCACTCTTTAATGGAGTCTCTTGCTCCTTTCGTCCACAATAATGATCGAAACAATTTACAAAGTGTTTCTGATACAACTGGGATGACTCTCCTTGTATTGGAGGCTCTATACAATATTTATAGTCCAATTCCTACTTCCATGGGATTTCCAACGAGATCTTTGCTTTACATTCGTAGGATCTCCCTTGATTTTTGGGGAGGATCTTGGTTAGTTGAGAGTTTTGTGCCTTGATGATAACTTACTATTGCTTCGGGGGTGCCCTCTATTAACCAGTTGTTTCCTTCACTTTTACTTTATGGCTTCATCTGAGGGGAGTCCAAGGTCTAGATCACTGAGCTCTGGATTTTTTACCTGACCTCCTTGTCCGACCGCACTTCCTTAACTCATACTTAAAAATCTTTCCAAGTATCATCAATGCTATTGATGGATCATATTTTGCATTAATGGGGAGGGCTCCACATTACATCGGTGTATCATAATAAGACTTAAGATTTATCTTCTCAACAAAACACAAAGCTGACAGTCTTGTTGATTGATCAATTGGAGTCAAACACAATTTTTAATACCTGCAGAGACACATATCTCAAGAATGTATCAACTCAAAGAGTATGATCTCTCAACGGTAACTCTTCACTTTCTCTATAAAGATAGGTGAAGACTCAAAGGTAGGGAAACCTCAAGTATAAACACTTCGGCTCCATACTCAATACGCACACTTATATTATTTTCTTAGTTTTGTATACTAACCTATTCACGTGTTGATCGCAATACTGACTTCGGCATCGGAGGAGCTTCCTTTGACACAACGCTAGGGGTCCCTCTAACTTCTCTATGATTTTGCAGCTCATGGATTTGGTAATACTTGAAGTCCAGAGGTGCACCTCAATACATTTCAGTGATTGTGAAAATCTTTGTCCACACAATTTGGCGTCGTCAATGGGAAACGAAGCAAGTGTGTCCTCAAAATCTTCATATTTCCAATCCGTGAGCACTGCCCAGTCCTTGGTATTATTCATGCATCCTTGTACCTTCAGGTTTGTTCAATACACGAAGCTCGGACTCAATTTTCTTATGTCTATGGGTACTCGGTCTTTGTAGCAAATTGGTTGACTATGCTAGTTCAATCTTGCAAAGCCCCACCATAAAGAAATGAGTTCACTTGGAACTCAAAGCAACAATTCTCCCAAGATAATAAGAATAGAGACGGTCCCATATAATTGATGTATCAAAGAGTCCTGAGATTTGAGAAATATTCCAACCATAAAAAAGCAGTTGACATTTAATCACTCGGCTAGTTGGGTTTCTTCATATACACTCGTCATTATTTCGTATGGTTATCCACGTCGAGATATCTATTATATATGTATGCACGAGTTCAGTGAATACAAAGATAAGTGGTCCCCCTTCTCATATATTTAAATCAAGTCTGAATTGTGCCTTTTATGCCTCCATGTGAAGCATATTAAGTATTTGGTAGAACTCTAGGTAACTCTACAACCCCCGGGTCGACACATGGAATAATGAAGCCGTTGAGATGTCTAAAGGGCACCGAGGAAGTAAGCCGAGGTATAGTGACACTAAGCAGTCGGGTATGACAGTTGACATCGTATTTAATGCGATGTGACCCCTCATTTATGGCAGAATGAGTAAAGTGACAAGACAAATAAATGCGAGCCTACCAGCACCTGTCATCTGGGAGTCTAAGTCTACTGTCATGATGGCTAAGCATTAATGGCTGATGCGTCGAGATGACGCGATCGACTCCCTCGAGGAACTGTTCCCCCCGAGTATTCAATGTTTAGTTGACGTCGGATGCCGAACTGGGGGATTTGGGTACTCGGGGAGTGGCATGAATGCTCGGCATTTGACCGAGCATTTACCCCATTTTCCTAGCATTCAATAGGAAAAGACGTGGGTAGAAAACACTCATTGCACGAGGAATAGTGTGTCAGATGTAAGATGTTCAGATGAGACTGGAAATCTTTGGCAATCATTTCTAGTTCAGGTATAAATACTCCTCAAAAAAATAGACAAAGGTACTCCAACTTGAATTAGAAAAATAGTTCATTGAGCAAAACCCTTCAACTTTATACTGACTTAAGCTTCGGAGAGAATTAGCCGGGCGCTCACCTGGCTCCCTTTTTTCTGACCCTATTATTTTAGGTTCGCTAGCTTAGAGATCGTTGTCTCATACTATTGCAGGAATTATCCCGTGCAATTTGGCGCCGTCTGTGGGAAACGAAGGCATTTTTTCTAGTAGCGATCGTCTAATGGTGAAGACTTGATCTCAGGGGTGAGGGAGCAAGTGTACGGGCCAGGAACACAAAGCCTGTCCGATTTCCAATGGTTCAGGAGCTGAGTTCATTGGGCCAATCAAATGGGGTGGGGCATTCTTCGCAAAGAATGCTCCCTATGGATCAGGGCCTTGGGGCACGCGACCTTATGGCCTATGACATCGTTGAGATGGTGGAAAAACGGATGGGCAAATGC